GCTCCTCGTGGCAGAAGAAAATGGCGTATGGAAAAATCCTTCAGGGATATTGCTGCATAAATTCCCGGATGTAGTAGTCAACACTATATTAGCGTTAGATACATGTAACTCTGTGCGACAAGGAGGCAAATCAGCTTCCAACACTGAGAGGGTTATTTTATCTTTATCTAACTCTAGAATTATAACACTTTACTCTGAATTACCTCAACACTCAAAATTTAACACTAATGAATTTGCTGTGTAGTTGGCTGGTTTTAGCTGGTTGACCAGCCTGGTTTTAGAAGGGTTTTTGGCCATTTCCAGGCTGGTTTCCAGCCATTTCCAGCCTGGAAATGGCCAAAACCCCTAATAACATCGGTTAGATGCAAACGTAGCTCTTTCTACAGTTTGCAATGATCTCATCGGCATGCGAACGGAATTTTGTGTCACATTTTCTCACAGCTTATAATGAATGTGAAATGTGTGGTCTATGATCGTGGATCTAGCACGAAGAATTCAGGGTTATTATAACTGTCAGCTGTTTTACGTGTGAGGATTATAGTCGACGCAGGTAAATGATGAAACATTGTGCTATAAAGTATGTTGAATTTTAAACACGCTGTGTCGACTGGCAGACCATTCTGAGGGATGTAAACACAAAGGGTCCCGACGCATTTCAAGTCCTATAGCTTCTGAGAATCCAAAAAGAGCCACAAATTGATAAATAATGTTGTGGTAGCTGTTTTAATTGCCTACAGTTATGAAACAGTTTGATAACAAGCTGGACATTTTCATGAGCCAATGACATGAACACATTGTAATGGTCTATCCCACGAATACATGATAACCCTCTAAAAAATGCTAGGTTGTTTTAACAGTACCTTTAACCTTTAACAGGTTGTTTTGAGTAAAATATGGCCAAACTAAACCTGGGATAAACAAAAAATAATAAATAGTCTTAATGATTTTAACTAAATTATTTTCATCCATATTTTATGTGTTTTTCAAACTATTGTTAGAGTGTCCCACATCATCATTCTGCTCCATGACAACTGTTGGCATAATAATAAATATTTTCAATCAAAAACCAACAAGGAAATGCGATTTGATTGATTTATTCTTCTCGTTTTAATGAATGAATGCGAAAACAGAGTTCCTTTCTGATTAATTAGCTTGCCTTATTTAGATCCTTTCAGCACAGAAGAGGAAAAAAAGCCTAGAAGATGGTCTTTGACTTCCTCTAGTGGTGAAAGAGTGTAAATGTTAAGTGCAATGGGAACGGTCACATAATGGGGAAACAATACACAATATAGTAATTTCTTGTTTAACGCACCTCAGTAATCTTATTAAAGCATAGTTTTTACAGTTTGTGGAATTAATGCTGTGTATGACCTACAACAAAATGTGGCTTGCAGCGTATAATCAGAATTTGACAAATAGGTAAATTGTATTTGTTGGCCTTGCGTATTTGCAATAAAAGAACATACTTTCATCTGTCTGTGAAGATTATTAGATATGACATATCATTACAGTTGTTTCTCTCTGTCCTCCATGTGCCTCTTTTTACATTTATTCTCGTTTACATTTTATTCTCATTTCCCCTTCATTTTCCTTTTCCTTTTATGCACGTACACAAACTTTCATCCGAAAACCTAAATATGCATTTCTTCAGCTCACATATAATTAGATTTTTCATGAAATTAACGTGTGTAACTAAACTGCGAATTGTGATTTTGATTACAAGTGTAATTATAAAATAACATGAGATGGCTGCCAATAAAAAATACAATTTATTTACAACCACGCGTTATAACCTCTAAAATAATTTAGCTATCTCTGGCCAAACATGGATCTCGAAGCCAATTAGATTTAAATGCAATAAAAATCTAACAGTTTCAATGAAAATTACATAAATGTCAGGCCTCACTGATGTACATAGATTTTTTATAACTTTTACTTTTAAAATGTACCAATGCAGTTTGTTTCTCAGATCAGCACTTTCGGCTTCACAAACGATTGTCTTTAGTAAATGCTTTTAAAATGCAGAAAACACAGTCAGCTCGGTTGTTTGGGAAGGCCAAACTGCAACGTGATGGTGGTGTGTGTCTATACATGAAGGATTTCAAGTTCACGCAATTCAACCCTGTTGTTTAAATGTTCCGCGCATCCAGGCAGTGACCTTGAACTGACACAAAGCCTAAACAAGGACAAAGCTTTACAGAGAAGAGTGCGGGTGCGGCACTGCATGGTTAAAAAACAAATATTGGAAAGCGGAGAAGGATTTAAGATGTTATGTGAAGGCTTTATTAGTCTTACATCGAAATTATCTTCTCATTAATTTACCCCTTATGTCGTTTTGAGGTCGAGATCTAATTTTAGGATTTCGTCATTAAATAACAGCACATCCAAAACCTTTACACTTTAAAATGTTTAATATTAAAATGCTAAATTAAGATGCAAAGTTATTTTTAATGAATTACTATATTTAATTACATTTGCTTATACAAGCATTGGTTTACATATTTAGATAACGATTATTTTATTTGTAGTGCGTGACCGTGCAATGAATAAACTGGTGAGTAAACGATAAATCTAAACACTTATATAAAATATTTTGGTCTATGCTACATTTAAGACATTTCTTCGACAAAAAAGCCTTTATCAAATTTATATTACCTCTCCAATTATGCATCAAATGCTCTACATTTATAAATTCCCAATGCTTGAACGTGCAATGGATAAACGATTATGGGAACATAATACATATTTAAAATAAAATGCTACGTTTAAGAAATTGTTTATCTTTTTTTCTACATAAAATTTACATTTATTAAAGTTATATTCTCCAATCATGCATCAAAAGCTTGCACCTCATCTAAACTTTAATGAGCATGCTTTTTCTTATGCTGATTCATCACTCTCTTTATCCATCAACCAAAGAAAGATTCTGTCAGTTGTTGACTGCTGCTGCAAAAAATAAATAAATACATAAATAAATCTAAATATATAAAAATAAATAATAATAATAATAATAATAAAAATAAATAAATAAATAAATAAATAAATAAATAAATAAATAAATAAATAAATAAATAAATAAATAAACAAACAAATAAATAAATAAATATATAAATATATAAATAAATCCTGAAATAAATAAATCCATCTGCTCTAACTGATCTATCCTGGAGGCTCTATATACTAGAAAAATATTATTATTTTGGAACACACCACAGCCAAAATAAATGGTGCCAGTAAAAAAAAACAGTACAAGTTTTTTTATTTTATTTTACTTTTTTTTGTTGAGTGGATCTCGGGATTTGTTCAAAATCAGAATGTTCAATATAAAAAATAATTTTAAAATGAGAATAGCTGATAAAATGTATACGAGGGAAACGTGTCACTGAGCCTCTACTCTTTTTGTGAGCTTTAAAGGGACAGTTCGCCCAAAGAAATACAATTTCCTCTCTATTTCTTTACACTGAAGTAATTCTAAACTTTTTAATAAGTTATTTCTTCTTTTAAACCCAAAACAAGTCAATGATAAAAATGTTGGGGAAATAAGCAGCAGACATCCACTGGATCAGAAAACATACCAAATACTATGAAAGTCAATGGCTGCTTTTTCTGGAATTCTTCAGTTCATCTTCCTTTGTGTAAAACACAAGACAGAATCTCAAACAGGTTTTGAACAAGGATGAGTGAATGATGATAACAATTAATGCTTAAATAAAGCAGTGCAAGTTAACTTGACATTTCATTTAAGGATGATGCTCTCAGTTGCATTGATCTAAGATGAAATACGTCTGATTTGATGACAAAATAATAATAAAGTGCTAAACAAAATATTTAATCACGCACATAAAAGAAAAACAATCGTTTAAAGCAGTTCAGGAGGCGTTTAACAAGAATATATTAAAATAAGTTGTTAATATTTTAAGGTTAATACTTCTTTTTGTAAAAAGAGAAAAAAACAGTGGGTGGCACCTTCTGCGACTCATTCTCAAGCAGTGTCATGTGACCATACAGCCAATGGGGCGCAGCCTGGTTTCCTTATACGTTAAATGTCAGATTTGCTATAAACTACAAACTCTTAGCCGGGCCCGCCGAAATGGGCGAGCATAATCTCTTTAATCCGGGGTTTGTTGGACAATTGGTTAACATTAATGCAAGAGATGCATTTTACCTCTCCAATTTCCGTGCGTCGGGGGGACAGCTAGCAGGACTGCAAACCCTCCGCTTATCCAGAAGAGATAATGTCTGCTCTTTGCCTTGGAACCCATCGGAAGCATGCAGTGGATACCCACAATCTCATATTAGCGGCCCCGTTACCCTAAACCACACATACAATCAATCATGCGACATTACTCGGCAGGAAGACAACAAATGTTTTTATAGTGACAGTGCATGCGCCACCAGCGGCGGTGGTGACAATAACAGTACCAATCTTATATCAAAAGAGAAAGCATTGGATAACTCATCTGTATCCATTACTGCAGAGAACGGACAGAACAATCTGAACGGAATGGACAACGGAGGAAGTTATTCAAAATATGACTGCCTGACACCTGCAGAACAGCCAATCCCAAATCCTCGTTTGTGTCGGTCTCTTGAATCGGTTTCTGGCTGTTCGTTCATAAACGAGGGGGCCAAGACCTCATCAGGCATCACGCATTCACTAACATCCCCTGACATCCAAACAAGTGTTGCAGCACTAAACGGAGGTGAGTTTTTTTCTATTATATATCTTAATAAGATCAACATATGAACATGAGGATCTTGAAAATAATCCACGCATGTTTTATAAATGTGAATAAAATAGCATTCTGATTTAGTGTTATTTAGTGATATATGTTAGGCTATATGTTTTAATTGGTTTTCTTTAAAGTCATCCGATATGCGAAGCCATTGCGTATTGTATATGTTTTGATAAGACTGTTTGTTAGAGCTTTTGTATTGGGCAAACATTAATGTTAACATACTTTTTTTTTGTTTAGGTGCTCTGTGGTACCCAATGCACAGACAAACTCGAAAGAAGCGTAAACCATATTCAAAACTTCAGCTGAACGAGTTGGAGGGCGAGTTCATCCTCAACGAGTTCATCACCAGACAGCGGAGGAGGGAACTGTCTGACCGGCTAAATCTCACGGACCAACAAGTGAAAATCTGGTTCCAAAATCGTCGAATGAAGAAGAAAAGGCTCTTGATGCGAGAGCAGGCTTTATCTTACTTTTAGAGCAATGGATGATGTTGGATTATACATAAACTGGCAACAGGACATGCTATTTGAACATATTTCTGATTGTTTGCAAATTACACACATGCAGTTGATATGTATGACGCATAGTATCAGTTCGCTGTGCACAAATAATAATTCATTCTTGGCCATTAAGTAACCACTACAGTTCTTAGTAACGCATGGAATTACACGAGAAATATAAAACACCCTGCATCATGCATACATCTCGAAAAGCTTGCTATACACAACAGAAGTGTTAATATAACATCAGGACAATAATTAATATATTTATTATTGTTGTTAATAAAAACAACAGTTTTAAAACAATAATAAAGCTTTTATTTTTTTCTGCAACACTGTGCATAGCTTAAATGCCTCAAAATGTGATTCCATCATGCACCTTCGTACAAACAGCACATTAAAGGCAAAGCTGTAAATGTCGAACTATTCAAAAGTTTCATTAGATTTCCTAATTTTTGTTTATGCAAATTGGTGGAAAATTCCTATGAACTGATATCATCTCAATCTGCTCACGCCCAGCGGTTGAGGTAACAGCTTACAGTTTTACTGTTTACTTTAAATTCTATACAAATCGTACGATTTATATATCACAACTGGTGGAACTTTCACCCAAAAAGATTAAATATGATAACTGCAGGTTTTCTGCGGGTAAGGGAACAGATAAAAGATTGCCATAAGGCCATCCTAGTGGCAATTTTAGCTTGTAAGTAAAAATGAAGCTGTGATAGCCAATTTTTGGTGCTTCGGTGATGTCCAGACAAAAGGGCAGACCGCGGATATGTCCCTGATACAGTATTTGCATGCGAAAGTGCTTATAGCGCTAGTTTACTGAATATTCAAAGCAATGTATAGTGTTATTGTGGATAATAGGAATTTATAATCAGTGCAATGTCTTGTTTTTGTTAAAACATGTTACCTGGTGGTAAATGTCTGTTACACCAATAAGTATTAAATGATTGAGTCAGTGTAAGTGTGCAATTAATTTCTAATAAAAGTGGTCACCTGTGTAACTGTTACCTGTGTTGTGTTATTGTCTGACAATAACATAATCTGGTATTTTGCATTATTTGTTTTAATATAAAAAACGTCCTCTTTGCAACAAATAATATCACGCGAAATGAGCATGCATTTTTTATTGCTAAATATTGTTGCTAAAACAATATATTTCCCTTTTCGTATTAGGAATTAACTATAACTAAATTTTCTAATAGGGTAACTTAAATTATTTTGTGAATTTGTCACTTTGGGAAATAATTCACTCGGGTAAAGTTGATTTTATATTCGTTAAATTCGATTCGTTCATTCATTTTTGAACAGTGACAATATGTGACGCTACTTTGAATATTCGGCCTGAAATCGCATGCAAGTATGACTTCAAAACAACATTAGCACTATTTATTTGATTGTGATCAATGTTGTGCATTGATAGTCATTGGCTGCTAATGTGATTTAGAGTTATTTAGAGTTTGCAAAGAATACATTTCTGAAATTGTGTATTAGGGAGAATGTCTGAATGTGCAGCTATCAACATTTTTAGAGTTTGTTAAAGTTAACGTTGCATACCAAAATGAATGAAATTCGTCGCTTTAATGTCCTTTTTACTTTATTTATTTAATTTTTTGTGCAAACACAACCCTCAGTTGTGTAAAACATGCATATTTATTATGGAAATGATATCAGTGTTATTCACTTTGAGTGTTTTTATGAAGTTGTCAGATAGGATGCATTGTCAAGTATCTAGGTATAAAAACTTTGAACGTCAACACGTAACACGCTTTTTGCTTCTGCGGTAGGCTAAATGTGCTTAAAGGATTAAGGTAACAGCGGATTCGACTTTGAGACAGACTCGGGCATCTTTACAACAGACTGTCTGTGGCATTGAAGCAGACCTTGAATGTGGCCGAGGGGGGTTAGCTGGACATTGACCTGTAGTGAAAGAAAATGGACATTGCAGATGTCTTCCTAAATGCGTTTATTTCGCTTCTTGGGCAATAAAAAGGCGAACAGATTAGATTTTTTATATCGCACCCGAAATCAGGAAACTGTCTTAATACAAATGAAAGTAGGCTAGTACACGTTAAATCTTTGTAAACTCAAAATACACATTCTAGGCTCATACAATATATATTCAAAAATCTTTAGTAAATTCTTTCAGTAGGTAGTGATGGCAAAGGAGGAACCATTTTGTTTTCCCATAGGAACTCTCAGTGAACAGTTTCTAAGTGAAGAGCATTTTAATTTTCACTACAGAAGCTTTTTGTGAAGCAAACAGTCAAACCATTTCAGTGGAGTCTAAACGTTGTTTATGGAACCATCGATTTTTGAGGATGTAAAAAGCAATTTCGGGCAAAACTATTGGTTTAAACTAGATTGCAGGTAGTATAAAATTAAATATTCTTTCTCATACATAAACCAATGAGTAAAATTGGGGTTTGATAATATTTTCGTTCAATTAAACGTACTTTGTTCAGATTATTCGTTATATTATTGGATTTTTTTTTAGCTTGCGCATAATGCAAAACCAAACGGACTACATTTGTCTTTGGACATACACTTGTATTTAAGACATACTGTTGTAGTTGTTGTAGGCTAATAAGTAGAACAAATTCGAATACTATTAAGCAATTTTAAGATATAATCTTTTATGTTTTTCTCCGCGTTGTCTCTTGTTTTCTCGCTTTGTGTGACCTGAGACTAAAGTATGCTTTTTGTGAATGTTTAAAGTAATATCGGCCAAAACAATTTGTTTAATCTAGATTACAGGTAGTATAAATTTAAACAATATTTCTTATTCATTCATTAATTATTAAATCTTATGGTTCAATGATATATTCGTTCCGTTAAACGTACTTCGTTCAGATTATTCATTATATTATTGGCTTTTTTTTTACCTTTCGCATAATGCAAAACCAAACGGACTACATTTGTATTTCTAGTCGTTAGACATACACTTATATTTAAGACATGCTTTTATATTTGTTGTAGGCTAACTAGTTAAACAAATTCGAACGCTTTTGAGAGACATTTTAAGATATAATCTTTTATGTTTGTCTTCGCGTTGTCTCTCGTTTCCTGGCTTTACTGTGTGACCTGAGACTTAAAGCACGAAGGAACAAAAGGATTCCTGCGGTTTATAACAAGTAATCTGCATTGTGTGTCAGTTATTAAAGGTCTGTCGGTCCATATTAAACGGTTTTACTGAACATAAACATGCCTATATTTTTTTAATAGGAAGACTGGACATAAAGATGTTCACGCGATGTTTTAAAGCGTATTTGGTCCATACGGATCTAACTAATCTCTTCTTGTTTGCTGTTCGTAAAGCGAAGGGTCGACTTCACTGGACAATTTTAGACTAGCCAAAAAAATAAATAAAAAAAGTAATAAAAAAAAAAAGAATTGTAAAATCGATAAGTTTTGGTTCATGTATGAATTTTCTTTTATAAAAATTTCACAAAATGTACATATTTTTAGCAAGTTAGCCGTGATTTATTATTTATGTTGCTTCCTTTTATATTTTTGAATGCACTATTCTGAAAAGCTTAAATATAGGAGATGATTTTAATCAAATATTTATTTACTTTTATGGTTAAAAAAAATACTTTAAAACACCAACTCAGGGAAACGTTATACACATAAACATTGAAATGTTTGATAAATCGGCTGGTTTTTAATTAAGCAATTCAGATTCACAACATGTAAACAAAATGTTTGTTTGTTTTTTCTAAAAAGCGTGTTTTCGTTGACTCTAAAATCTTTACTGTGTGTAAAACCTTGAGAATTTGGTCCTGCTGAGTTCAGACTGCGGTTTTCGATTTGTTTTGTCAGAGCAGAGAAAGCAATAAAGTAAAACTTACAACACAGCTAGATGTGGTGTGACAAGGAAATGGCTCGAAATGTATATTTTGGAAGGACAGGAAGAACAGGAAATATAGGTAATATATCTGAAGTGATTCTAAAAGTAACTTCAAACGCAAACACTCGGTTTTCTCTTAACTGAATATGGTAGGAAGTAGCGGAGGAAATTAAACAAAGTGAGAAACATTCATGGGGCGCCATGCATGACTGCAAGCGATTTCTGCAACTTCCGATTTTTTTCTCGATAAGGAAAAGAACGTGCAGTGTTAAATATTTTAAGGAATCATAACAAAAAGGCAATTCTATTTCAAAGTTTTGTATTTTTGCCATTTAATTAAGAAGTAAAGTTCAGTCTCTCAAGCAAACGTTAAACACATGCAACCCTGGTAATATGTAATAATTGTAGTGTGTTTTTGCACTGTAACGCTGAAAATTTTTATATTCATATTTTGCAACAAAACTAATCAGCTTTATGAAATAAAATCAGTCTTTCGTACTTTGTTTCATGGGTTCTGTGTGGTTTATAAAAGACAACATAATAATAAATGGCAATATAATACAATTTATATTTATTGTCACCGTTTTAAAAACTAAACTGGCTTACAGGGAATAATATGAAAGTCCTGAAATAGTCAAATTTTTATTTTTTTATTTCTTTTTTAGAAATTAAGAAGATAAATGACCTACGTTTTTTTTTTTTTTTTTTTTTTTTTTTTTTTTTTGTATAGCTTGGTAAAATTATAGTGTGTGCACATATGGATTGCCATAGTCTTATCTCCCAATCCCGCCCCTTGAGGCATGCCAACAGTTATTCAGTCATAAATAGTAAGCTAGTACACCAAGTCTCATGTGGCTTATGATCCGTTCTCGGAATAGGCTGCTAACAAATTAAAGAGTTCAACTGATTAAATACAACTGGTTGCTAACAAGACTGAATCAATATATCAGCTTCAAAGCATTGTTACAAATTGATGCTGCTCGCTTACTCTTGGCCTTGTTACTTGGCCTGCTTACTCTTGGCCTTTGTTATTATTGCACGGCCTTGGTTCACACTTGAAACTGCCCACAGATTAAGCAAGGGAGTTTAACTGTTTGGCTATCATCCAACTAACATATCCGTAGACTAAAGAGTCAAATAATACGTTCGTATATGCATATGCCACATCTAATCTGCTGCGAATTTGGTCTCTGTTCAACGCACAATTCGATGTAATTACGCAGATATAGCCTACGTTTATTCTATGAAGTTACATAGTTGATATAAAAAAATTGACAATGTGTTGCCACTATGATACAAAGACATATAGTCTAAACTTAACCATCAAACAGGATTGTTTAATAAATTACCTTTATCAAACGGCATTGTCGCGTCTATTTCGGAGACCAGAGGACAGCACACTTTGTTGCTATAATAAAACTAAACGGTTGACACAAAGAAAAGCAGTTTTAAAAATAAAGGTTATTTGTTGTTATGAAAATACTTTAAGCATTCATAAAAATTTGTCAGTGCTCAAAATATTTTCTATGACGCAAAAACGTAAAAAAAAACACAAAAATGGTTATTAAAAAAATTATCTTCAAGGATTTTTGAGGAACAAAAAATGGTTTGTCTATTTTGAAACTTTGCTATCTAATCCATAAAACAGATTTGGTTGCTAAAGAACTTTTTGTCTTGAATAAAAATGTCGATTACCAATTTCTCAATACTCTTTTCATATTTCAACGTAAACAATGTTGAACACTCATTTGAATGACATTTTAATTATAATCCCAGCTGTTGGTTTTGTCCTCATGATACTTGAATAATTTTAGTATTTGTTTGGTGAAACTACGGCTTCGGTGAACACACCGCCATTGATAACAGCATTTAGGCTACCTAGTCTTGAACCGAATAACATAACAGCTTATAATATAGCCTCTGGAATAGCTAGCCGTATTGTTTGTATTGACGTACAACTGGAGACTAAGGATAGTCTATAAAACGTGAAAAGTCTTATCAAATATATTACAAGTCTATTCGAAACTCATGCTTGAAATGTTAATTGACTTATACAGCAGCATTTACATGAAATAAATTCAACAAAACCGAAATGACTGACTGGAGATAGACATTCACTTGACGCGACCGCAGGACTAAAGGCTGTTGCTGTTGCAATGTAGGTTTGCATGTAAACATGCTATACGAGCTGATTATCATGAATTAACATTGCATTTTAGACATTGATATCAGTGTTATATAATATTTTACATTATACGTTTACTTTTGTTTTTGGGTTAGTGCTCTACATTACCACAGCATTAAGTCATCTCACTTCAGAGATTTACTTTTTGTTGACAGAAAAAAAGCGGTCAGAAAGCTAATTCCATTTATACACTAAAGGCATTCATTACGTTATTATAAATAGCCGCAACGCTCCAAAATGTACCAATTGCAAGTATTACACATGTACACACTCAAATTTAGATTGAAATGTTAAGTACTGGAGGGAACAGCTAAAAGCAATTATGCTCTCGTCGCTTTGAAACTGCACATTTCTAGCGCGTGCACCTTTGAGTGAACCACTCCTACGTTTGCAACCGTTCCAAATTGATATATGAGAATATCTACTTTCGATCACGTGTCTAAGGACCAGTTAGTGGGATAGCACGTCATCTCGCCTTTCCAAATTTCTCCTCTACTGTTCGAATCCAAGGCATCTATTTTGGTCTTGCGGAGGACTGAAGGGAATAATGTTCAACTCTGTCAATATAGGCAACTTCTGCTCCCAGTCTCGTAAAGAAAGGACTTCCGAGTTCGGTGAGCGGGCGAGCTGCGCCTCAAATCTGTACCTCCCCAGCACCTATTATGTCCCAGAATTTTCTACAGTCTCTTCGTTTTTACCACAGGCCCAGTCACGGCAAATAACTTATTCCTATTCCACTAACTTCACGCAAGTACCGCAAGTGAGGGATTTGCCATTCGAGTTGAATCCGTCGGGAAAGTGGCACCACAGGGGGAACTATTCATCTTGTTATGCGGAGGAGGACTTAGTGCACAGAGATTGCCTTCCGCCGTCAGCCACCATGACGGAAATGTTGATGAAAAACGAAAATGTCTACAATCACCACCACTACCACCCGGCTATTAACCATCCCGGCACTGGCTTTTACTCGAGCATCGGAAAGACCAACGTTCTTCCGCAGAGTTTTGATCGTTTTTTAGACTGTGCCCAGAGCGGAGCAGATGGTGGATCTGAAGGTAACTGTTTGCAGAAAGGCAGCTCTGGAAAGCCGGAGTCGGCGTCTCAAGTGTCTTCAGTTCTCCGCAGTACTGCAGATGGGGAGAAAGAGCTTGAGTGTGAGAAAAACACTACCTCGGGTTCTTTTGAAACCTCGTCGGGAACAAAAAACGACAACCAAACCAAATCCGGTCACTCTAGTAAGTATAACGATTGTAAAAGAAAGAAAGGTTAGGGTAGAGCGGCGTTTCGTCTGTTAGATTTTATGTGGAGTTTTATAAGCATTCAAGGGATTTTATTATAACCTACAAAGCTTTTTCTTTGCACGGGAAGAATTTTTACGATGGGAAAGGTCTTTGAAAAAACATCATGTTTCACACGGGCGAACTATATCTGTTAGTCTGTGAAATTGTAAGAGGGAGCAATTGTGACAAATAGTAACTTTGATCATGAACTTGCGATGAACATTTTAGGGGATGTAACTTTAAGCAGTCAATGATAAAAAGCAATTGAGCAGAACATTGCTTTCAGCATCTGAGAAGACTGAAACCAGTTTAAGTAAAACCCATCAAGCAAATATACCTAATCAGAATGTTTTACCAATTACAGAGCATCATTTGCATATCTTTTTTTATTTAGAACTTTACCAACCAAATCCAATGGTGTATTTTTTATTAATTTAGTATTTGCTATGTACATAGGCTATTTAATTTACTTAACATGCATTTTACGGATAAATAGAATGTAACAATAACAAACAGCCTCCATATGCGGTTATATTACTATTATTATAATTTACCAAGGTACACTTGTTAAAGTAGCTATTGGGTAGCGCGAGACGTACAATAATGGGAAAAATAAAAACAATATTAACTGATGATGTTCATGTGGCGATTTTTGACTGTTTTCTCATTTGTTTATTTGTTCTAAGCTACTCCGCGAATGAGGAAGAAGCGATGTCCATACACCAAGTTTCAGATCCGAGAACTCGAGCGAGAATTCTTCTTTAACGTTTACATCAACAAGGAGAAACGGCTTCAGCTCTCCAGAATATTAAACCTTACTGACCGACAGGTCAAAATTTGGTTTCAGAACAGACGAATGAAGGAAAAGAAGTTAAGCCGAGATCGCCTACACTATTTCTCTGGAAACCCGCTGATGTGAACTGTGAACATTTCTCCGAGGGACAAGAAGTATGTTATTTCTGAAAGGAAATTAAACCGATTTTGTTTTCAGACAATAATGGCATGTGTACTGAAGTGGATATTCTCAGAAAGAGACTGGCGTGAGGGAAAAAATTAAAACTGTCATTTTTGAAAAATCATTTTTTGTTTCAATGAGAAGATCCTCAGTATTTAACCTCCATTATTATTACTATTATCACTATTATAATTATTACTGTATTGATCAAAAAACTGTTTGAAAACACAGGAATATTGTAATCTTACATCAACATGCTATGCAATTAAAACCAATATTCCAAAATAGGGGCTGTGGTTCGTGTATATTTGTATTTACTTGAGCTGACTGTTTTGCCGGTGCGACAACAATAATAATAATAATAATAATAATAATAATAGACGGGAAATAGGAAAGGTTAACAGCTAAAATTATAGTGTTTTAACAAAGGTTGTATTTTTCATGATAAAGTCATACGCATAAATATGTTAAATAAATTTTAGCTATTTTTTAATAGACAGTTATTAAATTACATTACATATTTGTTTATATAGAAACTTAAAAACGTTTAATTCACTATTTACTACACCATATTCCAATACCAATAGAATCATGAAATTACACGTATAATAAAATGGCTAAACTTAAATGCAATATAAAACACATGTTCAACTACTTATGTAAACAATAATACAATTCCACTGCTTACAAATTTAACAATATTTCTTTGGAATTTTCGTAGTGAGCACATTTAAGTAAACTGCAAGGAAATTCGCTTGATTAAAAAAAGTTATTTAACAACAGGAACAACAAAAACATCTTGGCATATTTGGTGTGTCCTTATGTGTAGGAGAGAGCGTGAAGTGGGAAGACAGCACTAAAAGTATTTTTCAATGGTCGTTTGGAAACTCTTCAAGTCTAGACACAGTCGTAAAGGCATACAGGCGAGAGCTGGTTTTCCGCCTAATTGTACCTGAGGCTGAACTGAGATTTCGTCTTCTGTCAGAAACAGAAGGTCTCTTTTATATTTGCACTTTTAGGGTATTAACACCATTATATACACGTGAATGCCCAGTCTAAAAATATCTAGTTGTTTAAACAACAACGAATAAATGTTCAATATATACAATCTGTTTACAACAGCCCTACACCAAGCAGAAAGTCTACAACGTAAGCAGCTTGAGGCCATGCACATTGTTTTTTATTTTATTTATATATCCTACAAGCATGGATTGCTTTGAAAATACATATATAATTTAATTTAATGTTAATTTTATTCAAATTGGATTCTCAGTTTGGTTTTGGTGCTAAATCACTACATGCAACATGACAAGTGACTTTGGACTTGGCCCGCAGATTTTTACCGCCTAGGTCATGCCGGGTCACGCCTACGAAAGTCCTCCCATTTTGTCCGCCCCTCCCTAAAATGAGCGCATCTTTCTATAGACTAAAAAGCAGCTGAGAATGGACGGTAACTCATAGAAGCTTTCTCTTCAAGCGTCCTTGTGCGCCCGACTTACACAGCAGGCATCTTTATAATCTTGTGTGCATTTCGGCATTTCCCCATCGAACCAATTACCTAGCTATATAGCCTAATAGTTTTGTAAAGCTACATAAAGCAAGTCATCATTTCAGTAAATGCATCTCATCCATATAGGAACAATTAATTTCTTATTTGCTCATTGTTACGAATGTACCAAAATTAAAAAATAACTTAACCTTGTCTGTTTGTCATAGATGAAAATATTCTTCAACGAGCCAAAAAGAGCGCACACCTTTAATCTGTACTGGCTACCGGGTGTGGCTTACCTTCTGGACGGCTTCGTGTTCTGCTCCAGCCCGCGGTCGGTGAGCGAGCGACGACTCATAGTTCCTCCGATTTTAGGACGATTTTCTTGCTGGTGGAAAGAAAACACTTTATACGGAAAGCCGAAGCAGAGACAATATTCACTTTTTAACCTGTAAAATCTCTTCCTAGAGCATTTAAAAGCAGACAATATGCCTATTCCATATGCAACTTATATACCCTCACCCATCCACCCACACCCTTGTTCTATACCTTGATTTGTTATGGACGTTGTTAAAAGTTTGTGTTGCTCCTGCGTTATTACCATCTTTAAATGAATCGCTTGCTGTATTACTCGATTGTCGCTTAGGCCAAAAAAAACGTAAATACGTACACGTAAATATGGAATGTTTCATTCTAAAATATGCGGTTTAAAAAATAAATAACATAAAGCTTGTATATCTGTTGTTTACTTGTGTTGTTCACCACCATATTTTCTACACACGCTCACACAAACACACACACACACACACACACACACACAAACACACACTTACACACTCTTATTACCCCCATGGCATGGTGTATACAATGTGTATTAAATAAGGTATTTTTGCAATTAAGCATATACCAAAACAGCAGGAGGAAAGAAGAAAATAAAATAAAACTGAATATAAGAGCAGGGGATTAATTACTGGATGACAATGATTGCAAAATTCTAAAATTGTAACAGTATTGTAATTATACGACTATTATCTTCACAAGCATTATCATTGATACAGTATGTTTGACAGTAGCCCACTTTTTATTTCATAAAGTGCATTTATTCTGAAACAACAACCTATATATTCAAATTAACATGCAATTTAATATATAAAACTATGAATTCCTATTGTAAAGCAATGTAAATTATATTTTGATTTCAGTCACTATAATTGCCCTATTATATGACTTATAATCAAAATTGTAATGCAGTCCTAGTCATAGTTTATGAACAAAACTATGTAAGTGATTTGTGATATTGTGAGTAGATATTATGTGATTTGTGTTAGTTAATGCCTGAATTAATCTTAATTATCCCTAATATCAATGCCCCAACAACTATAGAAAGACAGATAAATACTGAGCAGGTTCATTTACCTTAAATACAACTGTTGCTTAGACTTATGTTGTTTAAAATAATGTTTATGCCTGAAAATGAGCGTCCAGATTAAAATCAATGTAATTCTGTAACAGTTTTTCATTTCATTCATTTTCCTTCAGGTTAGTCCCTTTATTCACCAGGGGTAGCCACAGCGGAATGAATCGCCAACTTATCCAGCATATGTTTTACACATCGGATGCCTTTACAGCTGCAACCCAGTACTGGGAAACACCCATACACACTCATTCTCTCACACACACATTGACTATGGCCAATTTAGTTTATTCAGTTCACCTATAGGGCATGTCTTTGGACTGTGGGTGAAACAAGAGCACCCGGAGGAAACCTACACCAACATGGAGAGAACATGCAAACTCCATACAGAAATCCCTTCTTGCTGTGAGGTCACATTGTTAACCACTAAGCCAACATTTCGCCAATTTGTTAATTTATTTTTTTAATTTGAAAGAAAATTGATTCCTCTTAAACATTAAATAGAATAAAAAAATTAAAGTTAATAAAAAAGCTATTTATTTTTAATAAACATTTACTGCAACATGTATTGATATAAAAAAAACATGTATATTTCATTTCAAGATTAAATTAAATGTCAAATTAAATCCATACATATGAAGTTGTTCCACATTTGACACCCAACCCACCGAAAAAATTCGTAGTAGGAGTTTTAGTAGCTACAAACACTGTCCACTAGGTGCTGGTTTTGCTCCTTGATTTACACCACAACAGTGTGATTTACAACCTTTTGTTTGAATCAAAATAATATTAAAAAAATCTTCTAACCACCATCAAAAAATCTTGATAGGTTTTTAATTATTTTTAAAAACATTAAAAATAAATATGTTTTCATATGATGGGATACATAAAAAACTATTACTATAAATAACAATATACATGCATACTTATATATACAACTTTTAAAAATATTTTTTCATGATACTGTATGTGTGTATCACCTTTTCTGTGACAAAAGCCAACTTTCAAATTAATAAAATAATGAAAAAAAAATCCTGCAATAAATTTCTAAATTACCATCACTACATAATTTAAGTAAAGTAAGATTTAAGTAATTTCTCAATATTAGTTTATGTTTGATATAGGATAGTATTGTTTTAAAATGCCTGTGGCACTTAAGAGGTTAAAAAATGATTGGCAAGGACAACTTTAATTATTAATAAAGACTCTATAACTATTGCAATTCATATCAGACAAGGTAAACACTGGAACTATAACTTGGTTAGCCTACTGATAAGAAATTAAGCCAAAACAGAAGCAGTCAATGCAAAGCACATGTACTATGCAAACAGTGTTTAATTACGGGTATTTGTTGTGGCTAAAAGGCATACTTATTCACTTATAGTCTCTGTAAACATTGACTGACTTTCACAGCAGGTTACAGGAACACAGTTATAGGAACTAGCCACCAGACCTGGTTCACAGAGATTTCATTTCATACTTTCAAGTATTACTTTCAAAGTCTAAAGTAATGCAATCCAGCCAAAAGCAACATCAAGAGTTGAATTCAACAAAATCAACAACTAATCAACCAAGACTAAAGCTGTGTTTCCTTGTGTGCTATTTGTTTGCTAAAAACATCAACATCAACTGAAAGAGCGAGAAGAAGGACTAAATAACCTTCCATGACTGCTTTATATCGTCATATATCATGATAACATATATCATAGAGGGTTAGAAAAAAGAACACAAAGGGTAACCGATACTCTGCTACATTACCTATTTGAGTGTTTGAGTAACCATTTTGTATTTCATGCATTCACGCAAAAGCCTTAACATAAGTTGTTTAAATTTCTAGTAACATTTTAAAACAACATTTCACAATTTGTGCTGGATAACACCCTCTGAAATAGGAGGTAATTTAGTTCCCCAAATAGCATTCCTAGCACTAAAATCATTTAAAGTTCCCACAGTGCAACCATGCATTAAAAAGCAGCTACTTTTAGAGATATTTTTAAGAACTGTGAAAGTGTTCCACTGATTCGAAAGCCTCTTTTGACAAGTTAAATCTGTCCACATAGATTTAAAGTATATTAAAAATAATAGTTAATAAATATCAAAATTACCTCATCAATTATTCTCCCTAGTGTGGTTTTAAACCTTTAATTAGTTTCATTCTTCTCTTGAACACATACACACACACACACATACATATATGTATGTATGTATGTATATATATATATATATATATATATATATATATATATATATATATATATATATATATATATATATATATATATATGTGTGTGTGTGTGTGTGTGTGTGTGTGTGTGTGTGTGTGTAAAAATAAAAGACACAAAAAAAAAAAAAAAAAAAAAAACCAAATAAATATATATATATATATATTAATAAATTTAAATATATATATATATATATATATAT